TAATTTTTTTATTTGGTGGTTTGTGTTCCAGCTGTCGATCAGCTGTGTGCAGCGTCTCCACTGCAGCCTGTGCGTCTCAACCCCCCCGCAGCAACTCTATATCCACCACTTAAATTAAATAAAACTAATGTGTTGTGTAATATCAGCTGCCAAATCTACCAAATATATGGTGTTCTTAGTTTCCATACTCCTGTGTTTTATGAGCGACTTCTCAAGTCTTAGCAAACAACATAAAACATGATTAAACGTGATAGTATATAAAACCATGCTCGTATCTACAACCTAGAGAAAATCAAAACGGCCTCAGTTTAGACATAATTCTGTCCTTCTGCATAGTTACCGCATCATTTATGAGAATACATGTCATAACATTAAGACAACATATTCGAGCTGGTTTTCAATAACATATCCGTATTTATTTATTTCTCCAAAAAATGTTTTTGTGTGCATTAAGGAGTCTCAAACAGGCATTTGTTAAATCATTTTAAGATTGGCTTCAATCAATTTTTGAGAATTAATTCTTCATATGTGACCCGCTCTATCGAAATCAGTCGGAAGTCGCAACGGCTCATTTCAAAATAAACGTGGATTTCCATAAAAAACTATTTTTTCGGGTTTCGGGTGTTTTGTTTGATTTTAAACAAACAAAGTCTTGGCTTTCAGAATATGAAACTTTTATTTCCAAACTCACACGATAAATACAGTNTACGGACCCGGACCTATAATCAATACATTAATAGGGGATTTCAATTTTGACGGGCGATTCTATTTTAACCGAGTGAGCGATACAGGGAGAGAAACACAGAAGAAGAGACGAGAGCGCAGCAGAGAGAAGCGGAGAGGAGAGTGAGTGAAGAGAATAATTAGCGATACAGGGAGAGAAGCGGAGAGGAGAGTGAACAGGCGTGTTAGCGGCAGACAGGGAGAGACAAATAATTACACATGGCGCTCTCCAAGAAGAGGAAAGTGGACAGTGAGAACAGAGCTTTTAACCCTAAGTGGACGGACTCATTCATGTTCATCCTGCCCACTGGGAGCACAGAACCAGTGTGTCTCATTTGTTCAGAGACTGTGGCGCTCATTAAAAGTGCCAAAACGCCACTATGAGACAAAACACAAAGTGTTTGACCCAATATGATCAGTCCACCAGGGTCAAAAATGTAAACTAAATATCATTCCAGGCTAAACAAAGAGCACCAGTGTGTATGAGAATGGCCCTGACACCATTTCAGCCCAGATTCAAACTCCTGGCAGGACAAACTCCAGCCCAATTCTCGCACTGAACAAAACAAAGTGAGAGAGGGACTGCAATATAAGAAGGAAAGAAAGAGAAACTTTAAAACTGTTCAATTGTTATGATGTGTAAAGACTGATATGTTCTACAATCGTCTGAAACTGTTAAGTCATGATGTGAAACGGTTAACAAAGAAAAAGGGAAACTCAAGCTGCTGCTACACTTTATTTTATTTATCTAAAATTAAGCACTTTTAAGATGCACATATATTAAAAGCAATTGTATTTATTTTCTCTATTTTATTTTTAAATCCAGCCCGAGAGGAACATTAGACATATCCACAGTATTTACTGTATGTATAGTTCAATGTTAATTGACAATAAATATTGTTGTTTTTGAATTGTACTTTCTTTATTTGATTGGTAGTCAGTTGTTGATTACATGCAGACGTTGATAAAGCTACAGGCTACTGCAATATATATCACACTATTCATAAAGCAAGTTAGACATTTTGATGTTCCAGACCTTTGCATGGGGACATTTTCTCTAACTGGACCACTTTGAATTGTAGTTGAATACCCCTGCTTTAGGGGCTCCGTACATATGAACTATAAGATATATTTTATTTCCGTATCTTTTTCCCTAATCATAATGTACGATATTATAACTGAATGAGATAATCTACGCTGGATTTATTTTTTTGAGCGATAAAAGGTGCTCTTGTCGGAGGTGTCATGTCCTTTCTGCTTGGGGACCCCAGAGTGTAAATTCTTGGGAGCTCCTTGTCTAAATAGAATTACGTAGGGAATACGTTGGAATTGTTTCTCCATCCACTAGGTGGAGCAGTTATGCAAGTGAGGGTAAGGTCAGAGTTTTTGGGTTGCTGTTAGGATTACAGGCTGACGTTTTACCATTTCCGCTTCTCTCGACTCAAACTCAAGGGTTTTTCGAACGTGTGTGTGGTTAGAAGCTCGGTTACAAGCTGAAATAGTTTTGTTATACTACATAAGATACATCAGTAAATATCCCACGGGTGAATGTCTGAAGCTTCAACGTGTCATAAAAACAACAGTTACTTACAATTGACTAAAAAAGACTGCTGGGTGTCATCACAACAGCACAAATCAGTTAGCTTAGATCTGGTGATGCGTGGCCAAGTGACCCTGCTGTAGTTCCTTATAATGTTTGATGTTTACTTTTGGAGATTGCATCGCAGAGACCTTCCCTCTGAAGGGAACACAGAGATTTCACCCTTTGCGAACAATGTTAATGCACAAAAACCTATATTACACAAACATGTTGGCCTGCGTTTCTTTAGGGGCCTCAAATTCACCTCATCAACCTTCAATTCGCACACACACCTGCATTTTGGGTTGTGTCTCACTTCTCCAAAGATACTTTGATATTTAATCATATCCGCCAGCTTAAACCATTCTTTAGGCCAGAACATGATCACCACCAAACCCTTTGCCAACTACTTGCAGTTTTAGAAATCACA